AATAAAGCTTTTTTTTAGTATTTGAAGTGGCTCTTTGTGTCTTAACTTATCAATTGACTTTGTGTAATCTATGAGATAGGCATTGGGGGCTTTGATGTCCCGTCGCGCTGCTTCTTCGGGTGGACGGGCATCACTAATCCACAGCCATGTCCTGATAAACCGTTCCAGATAGCGGGCTAAACTCACGTGAGGGGTTGATATTAACACGGCACCACTGGGCAAAGGACCTTCTCGGCGCAGATCACCAGCCATTCTTCAGATGAACTACAACGGCCACGTTTTCGCGACCAAGCCGAGCCACCGAGTTGGAGGACATAGGCTGTAGTCTAAGCTGAAAAAGGATGAGCTCCGCCAGGTTAGAACGCCCAGGACACGCTGACATGATGAGCACTATTTGCAGAGACACACTCACACGACAGATGAAGGAGAAAGGTGAACAGCACGTTGGCACCCAAACGACCCCTTTCGGTGTTAAGGGTGAAAGAAGAAGAATCTATGAAACATAAGTATGCACACTATTTACATTATTAGGACTATTGTCCTCATCTTTGTTACCATATTTATCACAACGTTTCGGCCGCTGTATGCTCCAGCCTTCTTCAGGTGGTTGGAATGTCGTACTGAACCCTTTATTTCGCACGCTGGGGTAGACTGTTCTATTTCTACGTGCCATGTTTAATGGATGTAAGTTATCAGTTATCTCCTGTTAATTCACCTCTCCAAGTTCTCCATTGCCTTAACCAGGTATTGAACTCACGACTCTTTGGGTCCTGTCACTGGATCTAACCAACGCTTTTATCCACACAGATGTCCTTAAGGACTTCTGTGTATGAATTTCTAGGACTTATAAACTTAATGTCTTCAGCAACCATTTTTACCAGTGCTCATATAGCAATTTTTGCTGTTATCATTGTATTTTTTTACCAGAGCTCATATCGCAATTTTTGTTGTTATTATCGCTTTTCTCTGGCACTCCTTATTACAAGGTCCCATATTTTATTCATTTCTATGCTTGAAGCAACAAAGATGAGGACAGTAGTCCGAATAATGTAAATAGTGTACATAATACCTCATCTCAGAAATATAGACAGATAGGTATACACCTTTCAGCATTTGTATTACTCGCACTGATAGCATTCTGATTTAAAAGATAGTATTTTTGTTCCTATGTCTTCAACAGAGCCATATTGTTCTTACCCTATTTCTTGTCTACGAGCTCTTTTCATTAGAATCCCAATACTAAGTTCGTTTTGTGGTTTATTAGACTGATCGTCCGATTGAGTTCGCATTCCTTTGCATTTTGTTTCTTTGGCATTGCTATGAATATAGATTTTTATAGGTATTCTTTTATTTTGCCACTGTTGTATATTTAATTTATTATTTCAAGAACTTTATCGAACATGGAAGAATCTAAGGCTGACTGCATCACTATTACAATCCCATCTGGTCCTGATGCCTTGTTTCTATTCATCTTATCCAGTAAGATTTAAATATTAACGGTCCATCCATGTTTTATGTATTGTATGTATCTCTCTTCTGCTGTAATGAAAGAGCTCTTCGATGTATTTGTTCTATCTTTGTAGTATATTTCCTTTTTCTATTATGGCTGCTCTCTTTTTAGATTTTATACGTCCTGTCGAAGAACATGCCTTTTCTTCTATTAGTTTTTTATTATTTTATGTCTGCCTGCCATTTTTATGTTCTTTTTTTTTTTTAAATAAATTCACCCCAAACAAAGCGATAATGCTACTAAGATGCAAGGGGATACTCTGAGTGAAAGAGAATGAATGATTTTAGAAGGAACCGGAAACCCAATCTTTAACTGGAAACAAGTGATAAACCTCTACTCCTGTTCAAAAAGCCGGGGAGGAATGTGACCCGGATGTTAGGTGAACCTATCTACTCATGCTCTATCGTGTTTCTATCTCTGCACACTTCTCGTTGAGTCATACATATTTTGCTTGCTTGCATTTATTTCTCGTGTATTCACTTAACATACTGTATTCTATGCCATTCTATATTCTGTCGTCTCTTTGTCGATAGTTCGAGAATTTCATTTGTAATTTACTTATTTTTTTTCTTGTCTCTCTTCCCTTGAGATAACCTCTTTTACAGATGTCACTAGTTTTTCCCTCAAGGTGTTCTACTTTGAGTTACTGACATCTTCTAAGGTTTTATATTTGTTTTTAACTACATCTGCTTGTATTTGTTTGAAAAGTGAGTTGTTCTGGAGTTTGTTGCATTTTAGTTTAGGCGTTGCTTTGGATTTCTTTAATTTTCATAATTTTATTCTTAGTTTGCATACAACTGGAAGGTGATTGCTTCCACTGTAGGCGCTTGGGTATGTTTTAGAGTGCAGAACTATATTTCTAGATATTTTAATGATTGTTAGTCTATTCGTTTCTTTATAACTCCTTCTAGGCTTTTCCATGTTCACAAGCGACTTGAGTGATCTTCAAATCACTAGTTGGTTATTATATGGTCGTTCGCTATGCACCAATATATCCGTTTTTCTCCGCGTTCGTTACGCTCCAAGTCTAGACTAGTTCACTAACAAATATGCATATTTCTTATTTCTTTTCTACTTCTGCATTTAGGTCTCCGATTTTAATGATTATTTCTTGGTGAGTAACTTATTGTAATAAATTCCATTCAGGTTCAAATAGTGTTTAAGGATTCCTTATATAATCTCGTTGATTATCGAACATATAATATCATCCTTCCACCATATTTTTTGTTATTAGAGATTTTGAGTATCATCTCTGCAGTCAACCAGAGTGGGCTATTACAAATTCTTCTGTGAGGAATGGACGAATTGTGTATAATTTCTGTCCTCTAGATACATCATTTAAATTAATATTGCGTCCTTTTTTAGCATAAAATGTAATATTTTAATTATTAATATTACATTCGCCATCATCTGTTCTTGCATTAAATATACTCCGGGAACTTTGGTATTTGTTTATTTACCAAATATGCTTTTAATATCTGTTGTAATGATTAGAGTTCTTTTTTACCATTTCACCTCAAGCAAGGTAATAAAGCCACTAAGACACAAATAGTTACTGAATGTGAAAGAATAAGAAAAAGAAAACATGATTAAGGAGCGAGAATGATAAAAAAGAGGGATCACGAAGATAGTAGATAACTATTGACATTGCATTTAAATTTTGAAGATCAAGGTTGGCTGGAAAGCAAGAAGTCATGTTAAAAAAATTAGCAAAGAACTTACGGTTATATGGACCCTAGCTGCCAATCTAGTACTGCGCTTAAATTCATAAAGTCTAGGTACTATGAAGCAAAGCTTATCAGAACAATTGCCATAAAAAGTATTTATAGAAAAGGCACAGGGAAGCTAAATTATGGTGGTATGGAAAGTGACTAAATCTGGGATACCAGGTCAGGACCAATAACATTGCAGATTCTTCTTTGGATTTTATCTAGAATCTCTGCATATATAACAGGAGCACCTGGTCATACGTGGCAACAATATTTGAAGCATGGACAAAGGGTAGATTTATAGATATGTAAGATAGATTCTGATGAGAAAAAATGTCCAGCACGACCCAGTGAACCAATTTTCCTATCAGCAGACCTAGCAATTGATTCAATGTAATCTTTCTACTTCATGTCTGCAGAAAAACGTTATGCCAAGAAGAAACAAGTCATTCTCCTTGAGGTTAACATCAGCCATGCTGATGGAACGTAGAAAGGTGTCTCTCAGATGATTGATAGAGAACAGTTTTGTCTTGGAGGCGTTAAAATTAACATGCCATTCCTTACCCTAGTTAACAGCAGATTTTATGTCACTTCAGCTGCCAATTTGACCTAATCGAACCGACTTATAATTAAAGGCAGAAGTAAGTAATTGTAAATTAAACTTTTGGTATAAATTTATTGCATTTATTTACGATTTAGATCATATTTTTGGTAACTGGTATTTCCGTTTTACAAAAATAAATTGATGAATTCAACTATCCAAGGACTTCTGCTTTTAACTAACCTAAACATTAAGTGGCTTAAAATATTTGGTATTAATAAAATAATTGTAATGAATATTTATAGTAAAATAATTTCAACTGAATTTCCATTGTATTTTCCAATGCATTCTCTATAAATACTTTTATTATCTGTTGTGTCCCTTTTGGTATATTTGTTTAATAAAATAATTGCAATGCATTTTTATAGAAAAATAATTTTCATTGAATAAACTAGAATTTTTAGCAACGGACTAAAGCGTGTTGAAATCATCACAGTTTTATTGAAGTTAATCGCTAACATATTTTGTCGAGATTTACAAACTCTACGTTTCGTTCAATTTCATCAAATCAATCGATAAAATTTGAATAAGCTGATTTGTTTGAAAAAATACTTTGACATTAACCCTACTTCATGGCTTTTGCGCACTCTAGTAAAATTAATTGCATTTTGCATCCCTTTACCCGTTTGAACTTCTCCCCAAAATTTGGTTTCGATCGGTCAATATATGGCTATTTTACTGACTAACGGAAATCACAGAATTTTATATATATATATAGATATAGATAGATGTTTATGCATTTTCTGCGTCACATGTAATGATCAGAATAAATGTAAATTTTGGAATAGTTGTTCAAATAACCCTACCCATGATGTCGAGTGGCATAAACACAGCACTTTTTTGACATATGAACAGTTGTTTTTATGGTATATTTCTTCATTTGAACATGTAAGTCTGTTAATTTATACAACACCCACAAATGGTAATGATAATATTAGCTGTTTTCTTTCTTAAAAAAAAAAAAAAGAGAAACATTGGCATTTATTGATCGAACTGTCGCATGAAATTTATAAAATCTTTCTTTTAAAACAATTTTCCTAGGAAAAATAGGTTTTTTAAGTCCACTAACTGTAATAGCTCTTTCCAGTATACATGCGGTTTTCCTTTCTAAAATTTTGTTCGATGTCGTGTGGAATGTAAGCATCTTGATTATAATATAATTTTCTCTTCTAGATATGGCTTACGGCCACACTACGTTGAAACACCAGTTCCCGTACAATCACCGAAGTTAAGCAACGTCGAACTTAGTCAGTACCTAGATGGCAGATCTCTTGGGAATACCAGGTGTTATAAGTTTGAATGTGCTGATGCTGTAAGAGATGATGCCTCGGAATTGTTAATCGAAGAGCCGAGTTCCAATTCCAGTCGAGTTCGTTATATTCAATTGCGTGCAAATACCTTTGAGAAAGGCATGAACCCACCTATTCTCTCGCCAGTTATGGATCAGTTAGTAAGACTTGTATCACTAAATCATTATTATCTCAAAAAAAATTCTTACTTTAAAAATATGTTCTGGCTTTAAATAAGTGTTGCAATGGATAACGGCTCTGAACTGGAAATCGGAGGGCCGAGTTTCAATTCCAATCGGGCTCGTTATATTTATCTTTGGGTAATGTATGAACCCACCTTTCTGTCCCCAGATATGGGTTAATGGTGGGACTTGTATCAGCAAATCACTATTATTTCCGAAACATTCTTACAATCCAAAAATATTTTATGATTTTAAATAATCTATAAAAGGTTGATAAACCGTAAAAAAACCCAAGTCAGTCAAGTAATATATCACTCACATATACACAGACAATTTGATTGTGTTTGAAATTTAAAAAAAACAAAAAACAAAAAAAAACGGAGTAATACACCCTCCTCTTCCACCTACTCATTCTGGACAAACCCTACGCTGGACTGAGAAATAAAATCACAAAGTTGAAGAAAAAATAAAATTAAACCCTAAAAATAGTCAAATAATTAAATGATTTTATTGAACTTTTTAAAAATTATTCTGTAGAATTATATCTTATAGCATTTTTATAAAATTTGTAGAAATATTAAGTTTGTCACTGAAATGGAATATACATGCACACACGCAAACGTGCATATACACACCCCACAATGTGAAATTGATATCTGTGCTGCGAGGGTGAGTTTCCCTTTCTGTCTGGCAATAATACTTGGGTAACCTGAAAAGTGTATAAACCGAATATTTGCGTTCCGTTGATGTCATTTTTATGAGAAAATGTATTTTATAAGAAAATATATTTAGTTTAAATGCAAAAGGTTGTATTTAAACTGAATATATTTTCTCAGAAATTAAATTAGTACCTCCGCAGATTCGTGATGCCTAAGGTTTAAAATGAATAATCAAAACACTTTCCTGTATTTCAAAACTAAATTAAATTGTCTGGAAGGAGTTTTCGTTTTGAAATTAATAACGTCGTTGACTTTAGCGCCATTTTTAACCTTCCGTCATCGCAATGTAATTCTCTTTATTAAAAAAATCTTTCAAAAATAAAATATACTTTTCTGAAACTTTATTTCAGAAATACCAACTGATTTAAAGTTTAATTAATCTGATTTGAAACAAATATTACTTTAAGATTAAAATATCGTAGAAATGCATTTTTTAATACGGTGGTAGCTGTTTATTTTAGGTGTTTACTTGAGGACTATAATGTGAATGCCTTTTTTATAAAGTTTTTATACACAAAAAAATTTCAAAATTCTTTTTAAAATATTGAGGTTGATGAATTGTTCCATTTATGATTAGTAAATATAGTTTTTACTTAATAGTAATATCACCTAATCGACGCAAATTAATACGGAATTTTAAAAGATTTAGAACTTTATAAAATATTCTAATTAAAATTTTTAAAAATGAAAACAATTCTTGTAAAAATCCATTATTCATCGAAAAAATAATTTTCTTAAGACAATAGTGTCCATAATATATATTATTCATAAAAGTAATTAAAAGCTTTTCTAATAAATTTATTGCATATATTTACGATTTAGATCATATTTTTGGTAACTGGTATTTCCGTTTTACAAAAATAAATTGATGAATTCAATTATCCAAGGACTTCTGCTTTTAACTAATCGAAACATTAAGTGGTTTAAAATTTAATTACCCGAAACTTCATAAAATTAAATAAGTAAGGGTAACAGGTGTGAAAAAATATATTTACCAAAATTTTCTAAAAAAAAAAAAAAAACAATCTGAAATAATTTCATTCATTTGCAAATAAGTTATGAAAGTTTAATTAAAATCCAACAATTATTTAATTTTTAAAAGAATTTTCAAATCAATGTGTTTTTCACCGCAAAAAAGACGCTAAAATTTCCTACACTAATCTTTGGTGCCCTCGCTGACGCAAGAAAAATAAGATTTTTAACCGAAATTTCGAACGTTCTAAAAAATAATAATAAAAATATATTTTAATAATCAAAATATCCTTTGATCTTTTCTCTTAATAATAACATAAAGATTTTGGCGATAAATCTTTGTTTTTTATTATTTTGGGAGCACTTTTTCATCATGGTACGCTAATATTTTTTAGTGAATCTGCGGATATACCTATTTTAACTCAACAAAAAATTTAGATTTAAAATTTGATCATCTAGACGTCGGCAAAATGACGGGTATCAAACAAGTAAATATATAAATAAAAAAACTTTCTGCAGTAGAAAATCATCAGACCAGACGGAATGACTTGTGAGCTAATTTTCTTTTCTATCATGTCATTTGATCAATTCATTACCATTACTATTTTCTGTGTGAATGCTGCTATAGATCTTTTGAGCAGCGACTCAAAGCAACGTCAATCTTCATTTTTTTTGTTCTGAACACTACATGATATAAACGATAATCAATTAGCAAGTATGCACTGATACAACACTGTTGATGTTGATATTGTTCATTGTAAACACATATAGTTTAAGCGTCCTTTGTGCTGGAAAGAAAGAAAGAAATTCGCCCAGAGAGAAGTTTCATTAAAATATAACAATATCCTCAATTTAGGTTTGATGCTGTAATGAATTTAAACAAAAGACCAAAAAATTATACCAATAAACTTGGATGCCTGAAAAATCCATTAATTGATTGTTACCTGGGCTAATGAATTTCGTCTTTTGTCTATTGAATGAAAGCATGAAACTAAAATTGTACTTTTCTCCTATGCTTTCTTTCATTATCAACCACCATTGGTTGATCCTCACTGAGTGCCTCTAAATTATTCAATTCTGTTAGATTAAGCTAAGTTTGATAAATATAGGTGACAGCCGTGGAGCAATAGTTAGACAATTACTACTACATTAAGTTCTATTTTTAGTGCATGCCCCACATTTCTGGCTTTTTTTTAAAAGATTGGCGCAATATAATCTTCTTAACCTCAATTTTCCTTCTATTTGGCATTGTGCTGTACTAAGAAACACTTAATGAATATCAATGTAGGTAAGTCATCCCCACTTGGCACAACACAATCTTCGAATCTAAGGTTATCAAAATAAATGTTTGTAACCAAGGCAATTTGGTGAGAATTAAATAACAGTATATTCCTATGGGTATCTTACTCGCTTATACAGTTAAAGATTTATCTACCTTGAATTCCTGTATCAGACCTTGCCGTTATACATATATAACAATTACATTAGCTATTAAACAGTAGATCATTAGAAATACAGGAATTATACCATATCCTTTCAGAATGTGGGCGTACTATTCGTAAGTGGAACACTGCCATTAAAAGAGGTGTTGACCATGTTTAGAAGTAAAGATGTGGAGCTGTGATGTATAGCGATGCCTTGATGCATAATATGTTTGATTGTGTTTCTTATTTCTTATATAATAAAACAAATTGCATTACGTTTTGACACACTCGTATATATATATATATATATATATATATATATATATATATATATATATATATATATATATATATATATATATATATATATATTAATTCAAGGAAAGAGGAAGCGTCCTTCCGAAGTTTCAAGAAATGAATTTGGAACGTCACAAATTATACCAACGTTGGTTTAAAGAGTCAAATGTGCGTGAAATATGATTACCCAATGAAAATCAAACACAAAAGTAAAAATTTCCTATTTGTTCTTTATTTCATAATTCTGTCGGATTCCGATCCATATTTTATCGATATTTGATCCCAAACGTTTCCAAAATTGTTTGTTATTTCATAACCCACAAAGTCTTGATAAGCCTTCGATAAACAAATAAAATCAATCCAAAATCTATCTATTCTTTAAGCTGTTCAAATCTTGTCTGTCTTGTTTATCTAAAATCTATCTATCTATCAGTCTGTTCATCTATCTATCTATCTATCTATCTATCGATCGGACAATCGACCCCTCCATCTCAGCATGTTCATATCTATCAAAACCTCCTGACCAGAGGCCTTGATCTTGCACGTAGTTTATATTCTTACCCAGAACGCGGATGTAGTTTATCGTCTTACCTAGGACGTGGATGTAGTTTATCGTTATACCCAGGACGGACGCAGTTGGTAATGTTTTTCTTATACTTGATAAAAACGAATTCAACACAAAATAACTATCCTCAGCAACACCGCCAAATTTATGAAACTTCAGGAAAATACTGCCTCTCAATTTAAAAAAAAAAAATAAACATGTAAATAAACTTATATTTTTGAACAACAAAAAAATAGGATCGCTTAAACTTCAATAAATGATATGTGAATATTATCCTCGTTACGTCGACGGCTGTACTAACACGAAGATACAAGTCATCGTGACCGAGGGTGTGAGCGTACTGGCATTTTTCAAACTGCTGATCATGGCATATTATGTGCTCTCTCCCTGAAACTGTAACTAAGGTCAGCTCAGTTTTGTTTCAGGTGTGATCTGGGGTGCTGAACACAAATGTACCTGACGAGGTGTCTGCGACAGGCGTCTAGTTACTCTAGCAGATGAGTGTGCTTGGAAGACGTGACTAGACAGCCAGGGTCTTCTTTCAGACCAACAATATGGCTTTCACTTCTTTAGGTTAACTGCTGATATAGTATCGCTTATTGCTGACAGAGTCCATCAAGCTTTAGACAGAGAAAGGGGGAGCTTAGTCTGTTACTTTAGATATCTCAAAAGCATTTGATAGGGTTTGGTACGCTGATCTTCTTCCCAAGTTGAAGGTTATGGTATATCTGGACATATTTTTTATTTGATACAATCAAATTATGAAATGAAAGTTTTCTTGAACAGACACTCTTCTAGATTTATTCATATTAATTCGGGTGTCTGTTGGTACGCTACCCATGG